AGAAGGAGTCACTTGTTCTTCGTGTTGTATTTAGGGACCCTCTGCAAGATCTGAAATGTCTCTAAATCCCTCCTCATTCTGTTGCCAAGGTGAGACCAAAACCTTTGCATAGTCCACAAGTATGCCAGAAGCATCCTATGAGCTGCTCAGCACTGCTGCTGTGTAGCTGTGCTCTGGCTTGGCTCATTCACTCCATGTCTCTCAGATGCCCAAGTACCACAATGCCTTTCAGAGGTGATTTCACACCCTTTGCTTTTTGCTTCTCTTTGTTTTCCTCAGGTAAGTCACGAGCAGCCCTGGAGGCTTCCTCCCAGGAGAGCACATGCAACTGTATTTACAGCCCCAGCACCACAAGCTGGGCTCTTGGAGTCTGAAGGAGTTCACCTCTCTTCACATCGGGTGCTTAACAGAGCTGATGCCGGCACATGGATGTTCTCTGCTGCTTTGGGGATTAACCCATGGCTCCCATCACTCGGTGGCAGACGGAAGTCACAGGAGGTAACATCAACACAAAGCAGAACCTCACCTTCATTGAAGCAGTGGTATTTCTTCTTCATGTCCTCAGGTCCTCTTTGGGAAAGCTGTGTCAGAAAACAGCCTTATCAATGTGGGTTCTTTTTATAATAAGAGGGAGCAATGTCTGATGCAGGTTGTGTTTCTTTTACAGAGGCTGCTAAAGCAAGATGCACTGATTTACTCAAGAGTTAAATGAAGATGAATCTTATTTTGTTATAAAGAAATGCAACATTGCAGATTGTCAGCAGAATATAGTCACTGACTAATATAGTCAGTAACAAATCAGCACATTGTAACATCCACTCCTTTTTAATGCAAGCAACTTAATGCTCATAGGTTTAGGATGCTTCATTGTGCTGGAGCTCAGAGAGGTATAAATCATGTGAATTTTATCTGTTATGAATAAAGTCAAATAGTTTGATAAATGTGATTTGGTGACTGGAATGATAACTAAAAGGCAAGGGAAATGCATGCAGTTCATTCATGTGTAAGCTGGATTTCACTAGGACTGGGACTTTCTATCCCCCTGGATTACATGCGCTACTATGAGGTTTTCAGGTGTCTTCTGACCAAATTAACTCTGAAAACTGAAAAGTGAAAGTGAAGAAAGATCTGATTCTTTTCTTTAATCTGAAAACAGACGCGCTTGAATAAATCCATAGTTTTATGACTCCTAGCATTGAAAATACTGTTTGTTCCTAGAATGCGGTCCCAGTTCAAGATACCTCAACTGTATAACATAAAATATATATAATTTGGGTTAGAAAATACAGTGGAATATACAGTAATGTAGCAGTTAAACTCGTCATTGTTTGAATTACAATATGGTCCAAAAGTGCCTAAATAAATCCATCGTTTTAAGTGTTCCAGTATAGAAAACCAAAAATGTCATTTGTTGCTTCAGTGTGCTTCCTGTTCCTTTATAAATACACTAAGTGAAGACCAAAAAACCATATGATTTTGGTTAAAAAGATAGCATAATATATGAATTCAACCAAAATGTGGCACTTAAAAACGTGATTGATTGGAGTCAAATATGGTCCAAAAATGAATCTCCACTTCTAAAAACTGTTATGTTTCTCTTCCTTTTGCCTCAGCAGGTAGCACCAGATCATGGAAGGAAATCAGACCCAGACTGAATTCATCCTGTTGGGAATTACAGACAGCCCTCTTGCGCTGACCCCTCTGTTTGTGTTGTTTCTGTTGATTTACATTGTCACTCTGGTGGGGAACTTTGGCATTATCATCTTGGTTCGGGTGTCTCCCAGCCTCCACACCCCCATGTACTTCTTCCTCACCCATTTTGCCTTCATTGACATCTGCTATTCCACAGTCATCTCCCCCAGGTTGCTGGCAGACCTGTTATCAGAGGACAAAACCATTTCTTTCTCTGGCTGCATGATGCAGTTCCTCACCTTTGCTTTCTTTGCTATTAGTGAGTGTCACCTGCTGGCCATGATGGCCTATGACCGGCACGTTGCTATCTGCCAGCCCCTGCTTTATGTGACCATCATCTCCAGACGCGTCTGCTGGCAGCTGGTAGCATCATCCTACTTATTTGCCTTCCCCAGTGCCATCATCTTCACATGGTGCGTGTTTGGAGGTTCCTTCTGTGGTCCCAACCGCATTGACCACTTCTTCTGCGACGTCGTCCCTGTGCTAAAGCTCGTGTGCTCCGACATGCACAACAGCGAGAGGGTCATCTTTGCCTTCGTCACCATCAATGTAGTGGGCACAAGTGTGGTCATTTTGCTCTCCTACATCTCTATCCTCTGCACCGTGCTGAGGATGTGCTCAGCCCAGAGCAGGGTCAGAGTCTTCCACACCTGTGCCTCCCATTTGACGGCTGTGTCCATATACTTTGGGTCAGCATTCTTCATGTACCTACAACCTTCTTCTAGCCACAGAAGCCTGGATAAGGTGGCCTCCATCTTCTATGCCGTAGTCACCCCCATGCTCAACCCATTCATCTACAGCCTGAGGAACAAGGAGGTGAAGGGGGCTCTGGTGAAATGTGGGGGAAGGCTTTTCAACGGCTGGCAACATAGAAGAGTTGTATCATCCCGGACATGAAGATTTCATGTGATTTGAGAAAGCCTATGGGGCACTGAAACATTGGTATTTTCCTCTAATCCTCATGATTTGATGTAGTTTCTTCCACAGTTCATGAACAAAAGTCAATTACAGTATTTAATGAAAGATGAACCCCACAAATCACTTCTTTCTTTCTTGGAAGTAAACCAAGAGGAGAGTAACCTCAAACTTCGTTTCACTTCGCAGTCACCAGCCTATATGAAGAAATTGCCCTGAATTATCCCAGGCCTCTTTTCCTCACAGGAAACACCAATCAGCTTTACTCAGTCATAACTTTTGTCACTGGTAAAGATGTCTTTTTCTTGCAAGATTCTGGACCTTGTTCCTCAGCTCTTAGAAATTTCCTCCCTCTTACCTGTGAGTTCTTTATTAAAGCTGCTGGGGTGGGAGGGAAGAGGAAGTGTAGTTTTACATTTGCTTGCTGAAAAAGAGTCAGAGAAAAGGTTTCAAAAGATTCATTGCATTTGTTTGTGCCATTCAAAGAGAAGAAGCTGGTGGGAATCAAGGTCTCAAGCTCCAGCTTTGAATATCAGGGGGAATCCCTCCCCAGGCTGCAGCTTCACAAGAGATTTCACTTCAAAGAAGGGAATTGTAAGCAATAGAATTCATAACTGAGAATGATGAGCTGTGCTGAGACCACCCAGTGGTAAGGAGTATTTGGGCACATTAAGGGCTCATCAGATTCAGAATTAAGGGGTGTTGTACATTCATCTTAAGTCCTATTTACTTAAATGGTGAGATAAATGGAAATAAGCACCCACATGCCATGTCCATGACCAGCTCATATTAAAGCACACCAGGGAAAACCAAATTGTCTATGTCACTTACAAATTAAGCCTGTTGATGGTGACTTAGGTCAGGGGAAAAGTGTCTTCTACTTGTGGTCAACAAAGGAGCCACAATCAATGCAATTAAATGCTGAAAAGTTAGGAAGGACAGAGGCCTTTGAAATTGGACCAGAAAACAACACTTGACTGTAATATTGAATTTCTCACTTTAATTTCCCTCACTGAATAGACTATCTCCTAAGTTGCCAATGTAGAAGTATGATCTGGGTGGAGAGGGACTAGCAGAACAGTGAGCACTGGCTGGGCTGTTGGGTCTAAACCCACTCTCATTCTGTTGGCAATGAGAGTTAGAATGCTTGGCATAGTCCACAAGTATGTCAGAAGCATCCCAAGAGCTGCTCATCACTGGTGCTGCCGTGTGGCTGTGCTCAAAGACAGCTCATGCACTCCATGACTCTCAGATGCCCAAGCACCACAATGCCTTTCAGAGGTGATTTCACACCCTTTGCTTTTTGCTTCTCTTTGTTTTCCTCTGGGAAAGCATGAGCAGCCCTGGAGGCTTCCTCCCAGGAGAGCACATGCAACTGTATTTACAGCCCCAGCACCACAAGCTGGGCTCTTGGAGTCTGGCAGGAGCTCACCTCTCTTCACATCAGGTGCTTAACAGAGCTGATGCCTGTGTATGAATGTTCTCTGCTGCACTGGGGATAAACCCTTGGCTCCCATCACTCGGTGGCAGAGGGAAGGCACAGGAGGTAACACCAACACAAAGCAGAGCCTCACCTGCAGTGAGGTAGTGGGTTTGCTTCTTCATGTTCTCTCATCCTCTTTGGTAAAGCTGTGTCAGAAAATAGCCTTACCAATGTGGGTTTTCTTTATAAGAAGAGGGAGCAATGTCTGATGCATGTTGTGTTTCTTTTACATAGGCAGCTAAAGCAAGATGAACTGATTTATTCAAGAGTTAAATGAGGATGAATCTTATTCTGTTATAAAGAAATGCAGCATTTCAGATTGTCAACAGAATATGGTCACTAACAAATCAGGCTTTGGATTCAGCCTCTTATAACACCAACTCTTTTTTAGGTCAAGCAACATAATGCCCATAGGTTGAGGGTGCTTCAGCATGCTGGAACTCAGAAAGGTAGAAATCATGACTTTAGCAATGTGAATTTTATCCTTTTTGAATTATGTATAACACTTTGATAAATGCAATTTTAAGACTGGCATTACAACTAAAAACCAAAGGAAAATTCTGGAGGTCATTAATGTGTAAGCTACCATTTCAATGGGAATGTGACTTTCTCTTGCTCAAGGTTTATGTGTGCTCCTATGAGGTTCCTCTAAGCTGTCTTCTGACACAAACTGCCTCCAATCTGAAAGTGAGTAAAGATCTGATTCTTCACTCAAACCTGAAAAATCAGGTGCTTGAATAAATCCATAGTTTATGTTTCTCAGCATAGAAGAACAAAAATGGCATTTTTTGCTTCATCGCACTCTCTGTTCTTTTCTAAATACCTCAAATGAAGAACAAAATCATATAATTTTGGTTTAAAAAATACAATACAAAATATTAATTCCACCAAAACATGGCAGTTAAACTGGTGATCGATTGTAGTTAAATGTGGTCCAAAAGTGAATTTGGGACCACAGAAGGAACCTCCAAACACACACCACGTATAGACGATGGCACTGAGGAAGGCAAATAGGTAGGATGATGCTACCAGCTGCCAGCAGACGCATCTGGAGATGATAGTCACATAAAGCAGGGGCTGGCAGATAGCAACGTGCCGATCATAGGCCATCATGGCCAGGAGGTGACACTCAACATTAGCCAAGAAACCAGAGGTGAGGAACTGCATCATGCAGCCAAGAAAAGAAATGGTTCTGCCTTCTGATAACAGGTCTGCCAGCATCCTGGGGCAGATGACTGTGGAATAGCAGATGTCAGTGAAGGCAAAATGGGTGAGGAAGAAGTACATGGGGGTATGGAGGCTGGGAGACACCCGAACCAAGATGATAATGCCAAAGTTCCCCCGAAGTGACAATGTGAATCAATAGAAGCAAGACAAAAAGAGGAGTCTGCGCATATGGGCTGTCTGTAATTCCCAACAGGATGAATTTAGTCTGTGCCAGATTTGCTCTCATGACCAGGTGTTACCTACCAAGGCAAAAGGAAGGAAAACATCAAAATCATTGCAAACAGAAATTCATTTTTGGACCATATTTAGCTACAATCGATCACCAGTTTAACTGCCATGTATTGGTGGAATTAATACTTTGTATTGTACTTTTTAAACCAAAATTATATTATTTTGCTCTTCATTTGAGGTATTTAGAAAAGAACAGAGAGTGCGATGAAGCAAAAAATGCCATGTTTGTTCTTCTATGCTGAGAAACATAAACTATGGATTTATTCAAGCACCTGACTTTTCAGGTTTGAGTGAAGAATCAGATCTTTACTCACTTTCAGATTGGAGGCAGTTTGCGTCAGAAGACAGCTTAGAGGAACCTCATAGGAGCACACATAAACCTTGAGCAAGAGAAAGTCACATTCCCATTGAAATCGTATCTTACACATTAATGACCTCCAGAATTTTCCTTTGGTGTTTAGTTCTAATGCTAGTCTTAAAATCGCATTTATCAAAGTGTTATACATAATTTGAAAAGGATAAAATTCACATTGCTAAAGTCATGATTTCTACCTTTCTGAGTTCCAGCATGCTGAAGCACCCTCAACCTATGGGCATTATGTTGCTTGCCCTAAAAAAGAGTTGGTGTTGTAAGAGGCTGAATCCAAAGGCTGATTTGTTAGTGACCATATTCTGTTGACAATCTGAAATTCTGTATTTCTTTAGAACAAAATAAGATTCATCCTCATTTAACTCTTGAATAAATCAGTTCATCTTGCTTTAGCTGCCGATGTAAAAGAAACACAACCTGCATCAGACATTGCTCCCTCTTCTTATAAAGAAAACCCACATTGGTAAGGCTATTTTCTGACACATCCTTACCAAAGAGGATGAGAGAACATGAAGAAGCAAACCCACTACCTCACTGCAGGTGAGGCTCTGCTTTGTGTTGGTGTTACCTCCTGTGCCTTCCCTCTGCCACCGAGTGATGGGAGCCAAGAGTTCATCCCCAACGCAGCAGAGAACATCCACGCGCCGGCATCAGCTCTGTTAAGCACCTGATGTGAAGAGAGGGGAGCTCCTGCCAGACTCCAAGAGCCCAGCTTGTGGTGCTGGGGCTGTAAATACAGTTGCATGTGCTCTCCTGGGAGAAAGCCCCTGGGGCTGCTCATGCTTTCCCAGAGGAAAACAAAGAGAAGCAAAAAGCAAAGGGTGTGAAATCACCTCTGAAAGGCATTGTGGTGCTTGGGCATCTGAGAGTCATGGAGTGCATGAGATGTCTTTGAGCACAGCTACACAGCAGCACCAGTGATGAGCAGCTCTTGGGATGCTTCTGACATACTTGTGGACTATGCCAAGCATTCTAACTCTCATTGCCAACAGAATGAGAGTGGGTTTAGACCCAACAGCCCAGCCAGTGCTCACTGTTCTGCTAGTTCCTCTCCACCCAGATCATACTCCTACATTGGCAACTTAGGAGATAGTCTCTTCAGTGAGGGAAATTAAAGTGAGAAATTCAATATTACAGTCAAGTGTTGTAAGTAGCTGAAAAGCCTTCTCCCTCACTCCACCAGAGCCCCCTTCACCTCCTTGTTTCTCCGGCTGTAGATGAATGGGTTGAGCATGGGGGTGACTACGGCGTAGAAGATGGAGGCCACCTTATCCAGGTGCCTGTGGAATCCT